GCTGGTGAGTGGCAGCCTACCGACAGTTAAGTTACTGGTAGACCCGAGCAGCTCCCTGAGCCTCGTCCCCCGTTTTAATGCATTCAACATGAAAACTTTAACTTGCATGGTTTTGGTAAAACGGCTCGTAGTGAGCAGCCGCGCTAAGCATCCTGGTGCATGCGTTGTTGCTGCACCTCCAGCCACAGCTACACGGGATCCTACAGGTGAGCTGCATGCGACGAGTGGCCGCGTTTCGGTATTTGCTGGTGGGCTGCCGTTTAAAATAGTTTACTTTCTTCAACGTGGAGATTAATATTAGCCACATTCCTTTGCGTGTTCTGTGTTCCTTTGAGCACCAGGGAGTGGGAGCGGCGGACATGACCGCCTGCTGGCTGCACTCTTGAGAGTCTTCTCAGCTGTTTTCTTCCTGTCACTGCTCATTTAAACTGGTCTCCTATATAATAATTTTAATATCAAGAACGGGAGGGACCAGTGAAGGGTTGTACTGCCCACAGCCTTCTGTTTTTTTTCCTGGCTTGTGCCGCAACAAGTCCTTGTTTGCACGATGGCAAACCGTGGCTGTTCTCTTCTTGTGCGCAACTTGCGCTATGAAACGACAGCTGATAAGGTGCGAGAAGTGTTTGAAAAAGTTGGGCGCGTCAAGGATGTCTATCTGCCCATTGATCACACCACAAAGGAACCTCGGTACGTCCTCCATACGCGAGCAGATTGTATTCCTATGCTTTGGAGAGAGGCTTCCATGCGCTTTATATGAACTTAATGATATTCACCCTATTTCACTCAACTATCTGAGATATTTAGAGATCAAGTTCCTAATAACTCTGGATAAAAACGCATTCGCGATCACAAACACCAAACCCGCAATCAGGCAATCGCGCTTGACTGCGGGCTTCGTGTTTAGGGTTTCGGAGAATAGCTCATTTGCAGTGCTATTTGTAAACTTATGATTTGGGGTTTAGGGTTTAGGGTTTAGCACATAATTAATATTGCATTTGCGATCTTTTTTCGTGATTGTGGGCCGCAACAGGGGCTTTGGTTTCGTCGAGTACTACGAGGAGAAGGATGCTCAGGATGCTGTACATGAATTCGATAGATTTATACTTGATGGCAACGAGCTCTCCGTAATCATTGCGCAGGACAGACGGAAATCTGTAAGCTAGTGCAGCTGATGCTGGGTTGCTGTGATGTTTTTCATTGTTGTTTTGTTTTTTAGCTCGTATTCATATTCGTAACAACATGCATAAGATAATTCCTTTCATCTTTGCTTGTGCCTTGCAGCCCCATACCATGCGGAGAATCCTCGCGGAGCGTCAGAATGGGTAGGTCATTCTATATTACTTTTTTTTTTTTCTGGATTTTCAATCGGGTTTCTAGCTAGTGTAATTTATATTTCATCTTCGTTGTAGTT